GCACGAAGTTAGAACCAAAATATCCATTCCGTCAATAATAATTTCATAACATATTTATGCTTATTTATAACGGAGCATATATTCTGAAGACCAAAAAACAGTTTGTCATGTAATGATAGATTTAACCAACACTCGTTTTTGGAAACCAGACGATCCGCCATTTGGCCGGGTCGCCCCTCAACCTGTATAAAAAATTATTTTATTATTATTCTGCAGCTCTTTTGATTCATCCACTTTTTTTAAATTCAAGACGCTCTTCAATCTCATTTTTGAGCAAGCTTAACCAGCTTTTAGGGAAGTTAGTTCAACTTGAACCTTTGATCCTAAAAGAGCATGTAAGCTAACCTCAGTTAGTGAATCTTTAACAGACCCTATTTCATTTTGAATGACATTGTTAACATCCTTTCTCAAGGAATTGATATCATCATTAAAATTTGTTTCAGCATTAATCGTAGAAATATTATTAGACAAAATATCATTGACAAATGAAATTTCACCATTTTAAGGCATTCCTGAATGAATTAATTTTATTCTGGATGCCTACATCAGAAACAACATTGAAACCAATGTTATCTAAAGTCTCTTTGATAGATGCAATATCAGATTGCATGGGCTGATGATCTTTTGAGATCTTATTAATATTCCCACTAATTTTATCAACATCCTCTAATTTATCAAGACGTTTAAAAAGCGGTAAACAAGAATCACAAAAAATCATTGTCTATGACAGCCATTCATAAATGCCGAAAAATCCTCTTTGATACCATAACAAGTGGCATGCAAAGTACAACCACAAGTCGAACATTGTGTGACAGCAGAATTGGTGATTGATTTGCTAACCTTACTTAAGAGGACACTTACAACGCTTCGACATAACGAATGAATAAACGAACAAGAAACAAACCGACTAACCAACAAACAAACAAGAAAACCAACAAACAATGAATAAATCCATCTGAATAATTAAAATAAACAAGAGAGATTGCGTGAAGCTGGCAACGAAAAAAAAAAGTACACCATTCCATATGATATATATATATATATATATATATATATATAAACATATTTGTATATATCGATATTTATATGAAAAGGCGTACATTTTAAATCTAATTGAAAAAAGAACTATCTGTTCTGTTGGTGTTAATCTTTCTATCTGGAATTCTGAGTTCCACATTTTAGCAATTTTGTTCGTCGAAGTTTAGAACTTTTGTCTGTTCATAGGCACAATACCTTTCTCTATCTTCATTTTGCAGTGTAGATGGATTGGCCATTGAGTCTACTCCGTCAGATGACTGGGCCGTTCCACGTAGCATTCAGAGGCTAGAGCTAAACACCCTGCAAATACACCATCAACCCGTTCTACCTCTAAATAAATATGACACATTTTTATTATTATTATTATTTTAATTATTATTATTATAGTAGTAGTGGTAGTAGTAGTAGTCGTAGTAGTAGTAGTAGTAGTAGTAGTAGTAGTAGTAGCAGTTGTTGTGGTAGTAGTAGTAGCAGTTGTTGTAGTAGTAGCAGTTGTTGTAGTAGTAGCAGTTGTTGTAGTAGTAGTAGTAGTAGTAGCAGTTGTTGTGGTAGTAGTAGTAGCAGTTGTTGTAGTAGTAGCAGTTGTTGTAGTAGTAGCAGTTGTTGTAGTAGTAGCAGTTGTTGTAATGGTAGTAGTGGTAAAAATACAGTAACAATAAAAATATTTATTTCATTTTAAAAATTTATTTAAAGTTGATTCACAAAGAAGATTCATAATTATATAGATACACACGCACATACATACATACACACGCACATATATACTTACATATACACACACAAATTTTACTACAAAGTCGTTGTTTAAGAAGAGGTATGGAACAATTTTATTTAGAAAATTGGAAAAAATGAATGAATGAGTGAATGAATGAATGAATGAATGAATGAATGAATGAATGAATGAATGAATGAATGAATGAATGAATGAATGAATGAATGAATGAATGAATGAATGAATGAATGAATGAATGAATGAATGAATGGATGAATGAATGGATGAATGAATGACTAAACGAACGAACGAACGGATGAATAAATGAGTGAATGAACGAATGAATTTATCTATAAATATAGCAAAAATGAAATAACTAATAGACTGATATGATGAACCAACATATACACTAATGAACAAATGAATGAATGAACGAACGAATTAATGAACGAATGATTGACTGACCAAATGAATGAACAAATAAATGAATGAAAAAATGACAAATGAATAAACACTCATTTACTTTTTATTCATTATTCTCTTTATAATAAATATTAATTCATTTTTAATAATAATAAAAAAAACATTCTATGTGCAATTATAAACTCGATACACCATAATGTGGTACATACGTACAAGAAATACCGTGTAACACACAAAGGTGTTAGTGTTGCAATGTCTCCTCGTTTCTATTAAAGTCCTTTAAAGAGCGTTATATGAAATAAAAAAGTTGTATATATATATCTATAT